CAGGGAAGCCCTGATGATTTTCTATAGTAGTATGCTTGTGATCCTTTCACTCTAGTTTTTGTGTATCTATTGTAGGTTTTGTTTTGTTTTGTTTTTTGGCCACACCATGTGGCTTGTGGGATCTTAGTTCCCTGACCAGGGATTGAACCCAGGCCCTTGGCATCGAAAGCGCAGAGTCCTAACCATGGACCACCAGGGAAGTCCCCCTATTGCAGATTTTTCATTTGTTTTTACCATGAGGTTCATATATGTTGACCTGTAACCATATCTATTACTTGTTTTAAACTGGTAGTCACTTAAGTTCAAACACATTCTTAAAAAATCTATATTTTTTACTCCCCTGCCCCATGTTTTGTGTTTTTGATGTCATATTTTACATCTTCATGTTTATCCCTTAACTGTTTGTTGTAGTTACAGTTGATTTTACAATTTTTTTTTGTTTTAATCTTGGTATTAGCTTATTTAAGTGGTTGATCCTCAGCCTGTATTATATATTTGCCTTTACTATTGGGATTTTTCCTTTCCAATAGATTCTTACTCCTTGTTGAAGACTTTTCTTTTCCACTTAGAGAAGACTCTTTAACATTTCTTTTAGGGTCGGTTTAGTATTCGTGAACTCTTTTTTTTTTTTTGCGGTACGTGGGCCTCTCACTGTTGTGGCCTCTCCTGTTGTGGAGCACAGGCTCCGAACGCGCAGGCTCAGTGGCCATGGCTCACGGGCCCAGCCGCTCCGCAGCATGTGGGATCTTCCCGGACCGGGGCACGAATCCGTGTCCCCTGCATCGGCAGGTGGACTCTCAACCACTGCGCCACCAGGGAAGCCCTCGTGAACTCTTTTAATTTTTGCTTTTCAGGTAAGTTGTTTATCTCTCCTTCAATTGTAAATGATAATCTTGCTGGATAAGGTTGTAGGTTTTTCCCTTTCAGCACTTTAAATAAAATCATGCCACTCTCTTCTGGCCTGCAAAGTTTCTGCAGAGGAATCAGCTGATAGCCTAATGGGGGTTCCCTTGTACATGACTCTTTGTTCTTCTCTTGCTGCCTTTAGAATTCTCTCTTTCTCCTTCTTTTTTGCCATTTTTAATTATTATATGTTTTGGTGTGGGTCTGTTTGGGTTTATCTTGTTTGGGATCTCTTCTGCCTCCTGTACCTAGATATCTGTTTCCTTCTTTAATTTTGGGAAGTTTTCAGCCATAATTTCATCAAACACATTTTCAATCCCTTTCTCTCTTCTGCTTCTGGGAACCCTATAATGAGAATGTTGATATGTTTGATGTTGTTCTACAGGTCCCTTTAACCAGTCTCATTTTTAAAATTTGTTTTTCTTTTTGCTGTTCTGATTGGGTGATTTCCATCATAAGTTGCCTTGCATTTATGCATTTATGCATTCTTCTTTATCACCTACTCAGCTGTAAATTCCTTCTCTTGTGTTTTTCATTTGTTATTGTATTCTTCAGTTCTTTTTTAAAATATTTATTTGTTTGTTTATTTATTTATTTATTTACTTATTTTTGGCTGCATTGGGTCTTAGTTGTGTATAAGGATCTTTCATTGTGGCACATGGGTCTCTCTCTCATTGTGGCGCACAGGCTCCAGAGTGCATGGGCTCAGTAGTTGTGGCACACGGGCTCTCTAGTTGTGGTGTGCAGGCTCAGTAGTTGCAGCGTGTGGGCTTAGTTGCCTCATGGCACATGGGATCTTAGTTCCCCAACCAGGGATTGAACCTGCATCCCCCTGGAAGGCAGATTCTTAACCACTGGGCCACCAGGTAAGTCCCCCTGTATTCTTCAGTTCTGACTGATTTTTTTTTTCTAGTTCCTTGTTAAAATTCTCACTGTGTTCATCTACTCTTTTCCCATTGTGTTAGCATTCTTATTACTAATGCTTTGAATGCTTTATCTGGTAAATTATTTACCTCTGTTTCATTAGTTGTTTGTTCAGGGTTTTTCTCTTGTTCTTTCATTTGAAACAAATTCTCCTGTCTTCTCATTTTGCTTGACTTTCTCTGTCCCTATGAAATTAGGTGAAACATTTACTTATCCAGGTCTTAAAGGAGTGTCCTTGTGTGAGAGCATCCCTATACAGTTTGCATGTGCCCAGTGGCCTTGGTGGGAGAGCTGTATCTGACATCAGTGTGAGTCACATCTTCCTCCACGGTGTCCTGGCAGCTATCATCTTGGTGGGAGGTGGGTTTAGAGATGGAGGGGCTAGAGCCAGGGCAAGGTGTGAGCTGGGGCTCCTCCTCTGCTCAGTGGCCAGCACCAGCCTACTGGGGATGGGGGCAGGTCTCAAGTTGTTGGAGCAAAAGCCCTGAGGGTTGGGTCCATGTTTGTTTTTTCCCCTCTAAATGTGTGCTCTCCACCCTCCCAGCATGGGTACCCTCACCCCAGAGGGGAGCAGTGCTGGAGCAAGAGGGACTGAGCAGGTGCTTGGTTTGGGTTGTGGCATGAGCTAGAGTGGTCCTGGCACCAGTCAGAGTTCCAGACCACTCCCTAACTGCTGCCACCCCAAGTGCCAGCAATGTCTGTCCTCACCTGGCTCAGTTGCTGTTTGGGCCTGAATCAGCTCTGTCCCCTACCACTGCATACTCTCCTTGCCTGTGACAGTCCTTGTCCTAAAGTGGAGCTGCATCATGGAACCAGTGGGGCTGGAGCTGGTGCTTGACTCAGCCTGGGTCATGCACTGTCGGTCGCAGGAAACAGGCCAGTGTCCCAGGCAGTTCCATTCTGTTTCCTCTGCCTTGTTTCAAGAGTAAACAAGTGTGTGCACACTGTTCACAAGCAGAGTCTAGGTTTCTTACAGTCCTGCTATAGTCCCACTGGTTTTCTAACCAGCTAAGGGGACTCATCCTTCCAGTGTCGTACCCCAGGGTGGGGTGCCCAGTATTTGGTTTGAACTGCTCACTCTCTGGGGAGGATCTCTGAGTATACATAATCCCCCTCCTCTTCTATGTCCCTTCCCAGGCATGCAGGCCCCAACCTGATTGCTTCTTTTTCCCTCCTCTCCAATTCCATGTGGATCTTCCTTACAGCCTTGGTTTTACAGGAATCTTTCTGTCTGTCTCCAGTTTGATTTTAGTGAGAATTGCTCCACATGCAGATTTTTAAAAAATATTTATTTATTTACTTATTTTGGCTGTGCCAGGTCTTAGTTGCTGCATGTGGGATCTTTGTTGTGGCATGCAGGATCTTTAGTTGCGGCATGAGGACTTCTTAGTTGTGGCATACGGACTCAGTTGTGGCATGCATGCAGGATCCAGTTCCCCCCAGGGAACCAGGGATTGAACCAGGGATCAAACCCGGGCCCCCTGCATTCGGAGCGTGGAGTCTCACGCACTGGACCATCAGGGAAGTCCCTAGATGTATTTTTGATGTATTTGCAGAGGGAGGTGAACTCCAAGTCCTCCTACTCTGCCATGTTTATCTCCTCCTGGACTATATTTCAATGCTGATCATTGTCTGTTTGCCCTCAGTTCCATTCTGTCACCCTGAATGATACAATTTCCCAGGCTTCCTTGTGTATAGCCACATGACTGTAGGCCAGAGTTTCTCAACTGTGCACTTGACATTTTGGCTGGGTAATTCTTTGTTGTGAGGGGTTGTCCTCTTCACTGTAGAATGTTTAACAGTATCACTGGCCTCTATCTGCTGAATGTCAGTAGTACATCCTCCCTCTGAGCTGTGACAACCAAAAATGTCTCCAGATTGCCAAATATCCCCTGGAGGAAAGGGGGTCAAAATCACTCCAGTTGAGAACCATTGGTCTCGATCTTTATACTGCTGGTGGAAGGCAGGCTACATTACCAAACTGTCTGTTTGATTTGGTTTGGAAGTCCCACACAGCTTCCCTAATGGTGTTTGATAAGGTACAGAATACTAAATTCTGTAGGGAAGTATAACACTTATAACCTAATAAAAAAGACAAAAGAACACATGAAGCTGTGAAAGAATAACATCTGCTAAACTTGTGGTTATACGTAGGAAATTTAAAAAGAAGCAATGTAAGACAGGAAAGTCAGCCAATGGCTCAGGCCTCACAGGGTGGGAAGGGCTTTTTGAGGCCACCAGAACCCAGAGCCTAGCCCTCAGGTTGTAGTTTCAAAAAATGATTACTCTTTTGCTTTTAAATTATATTTTTTAAAAGTGTTCATTTTAATACATATTATGGCAAGAAACATTTTTTGAGGTGTCTTCAACCCTGCCAATAATTCCCACCCACTTCATCATGGATGTTAAAACGTTAGCATTTTGATATGTAACTTTCCATACTTCTTCCAAGCCTCTACAGCCATATTTGTATATAGGTTTCTATATAGGTATATAGGGGTTTTAAAATAATAAAAAGGTATATTTATTAAATAATAAAAAAGGATCATAATATACACATTTTTGTGCAACTTACTTTTGTCACTCCCAGTGTATCATATAAACAGTCCTCAAGAACAACAGTTATAGATCTTTTTAATGGTTGCATAATATGCCATAGTATGTATACATCATAATTTGATCAACAGATTTTCTGTTGAAGACATTGGGATTGTTTCTGGACTTTTTTCCCAACAACATTAATGCCATAATAAACATTCTTGTGTTCATAGCCTTACATATTCACACTTTTATTTCTTTAAGCTAAGTGAGATTTTGAATTGAAATGTATAGGTATATGTATGGTATTTATAATTTTAATAAATATTTCCAGATTACTTTCCAACACTATGAGAATAATGTATTATAGTATCAGTTCCCCCATATCCTGGTAAGCAATAGATGGTAAAAATAAAATTTGTTTTGTTTTTGTGTGAGGAGTGAAAAATGGAACCTCATTGTTTTACTTGCATATTACTGTCTACAAGTAGATTTGAACATATTTACAATTTTTATATAGTAAAATATATCTATTTTAAATGTTTCCTGTCTCAGTTAAAAAGGTTTTTCTTGATGCAAAGTTTTATAATATTCTAAAATGTCTTATAATATTTTTATTGTATTTTTTCCTTTAGATCTTCGGTCCACCTGGAATTTATTTTTGTATCTAGTGTAAGGTAGGAATCTGTATTTGTATTTTTTCACAGTAATAATCATTCTGCCAATATCATTTTAGTACAAAAAGAGTTGATACTAACTCCCCTACTAATTGTAGTCATGTGAGACATATCAAGGGTATAAGGCCAATTTATTTGTTTATTTAAATAGAATTGTGAAGTCAGCCAGAATATTAACGTTGGCTCTTTGAACATTTTCTCCCAAGTGGAAAATTCCATATGGGAAACCAAATTACTGTTGAAGTCTGCTTAGAAAGCTGAGGACTAGGGGAGTTCCCTGGTGGCCTAGTGGTTAGGATTCTGCGCTTTCACTGCCATGGCCTGGGTTCAATCCCTGGTTGGGGAAGTGAGATCCCACAAGCTGTGTGGTTTGGCCAAAAAATTAAAATAAAAAACAAAACAAAACAAAACAAGAGAAAGCTGAGGACTAGAAAACAAGTTAAAAATCTTAGTGACTAGTGTCTGACGTCTATGACAGTCTTTGGTATAATACAAAATATTTTGCTTTTGTCCCCTGTTCCAAACACAGAACTCCTAACACCCTTGTAGTTTCCTGAGTGATAGGAGCATCATTTATTATTCATAAGAAGGCCCTTCCAGCACTCCTGAGTTTATGCTAATTAGGTAGCTTAAGGTAGGCCTTAGGGTGGGACCCCCAAGATAGCTTTGAGATGGGCAGGTCACCAGAAAGACCAAGTGATTAGAGGATGGGAACTTTTCAGCTCTAGTCCTGACCTCCAGAGTGAGAGGCAGGGTGTGCTAGAGATTAAGTTCTATAAAAACTCTTGAACAAAGAGATTCAGAGAGCTTCCAAGCTGGTGAACACAATGAAGTGCTAGGAGGGTAGGCACCCCAACTCCACGTGAAAGAAGCCCCTTTGCTCAGGACCTTTGTGGACTTTGCCTTTGTACCTCTTCATCTGGCCGTTCATGTGTATCCTTTGTAAGGATACAAAAGTTACCTTTACTTTGTAATTATAAGTGATGTGTCTTATTGAGTTTATTGAGTTCTGCGAGCCACTCTAGGAAATTATGGAACTTTAGGAGAGTGTCATGGGAACTCCCAATTCATAGCCAGTTGGTCAGAAGTCCAGGAGGTCTAGGACTTGTGACTGGCATCTGAAGTGGGGGCAGTCCTGTGAGACTAAGACCTTGAGCTGTGGGGTGTTCACCAACTCCCAGTATTCAGTGTCAAAAATGAGTTGAAGTGTTGAACACCCAGTTATTGTCTGGAGAATCAGAGATTTGGTTGTTGGTGTTGGAAGACACCTCACAGCCCAATGCACCAATGTTCATCCTGTCAACCAAGGTACCAGAAATCTCATATTGTATGTTTCACTAACTTTCTCATGTGAACTGTGCTGGCTACAAACCAAATTTCCTTGCCTTGCCTCTTTTTTTTTTTAAATTTTTTTTAAGCATCCATGCTTCCCATCACGCTTCATTAAATAATTGTTTTCCTAGGTGCCAAGATTCCTTTATGTTCTTCATTTATTCTTTCATTCAATAAATATATGTGATAAATATATGTGCCAGTTCTCTACTAGACAGCTGACAATACAGAGGTGAACCAGATGAACAAAATTCCTGCTATAGTTGGGGGAGACAGTCAATAAAACACACAGAGAAAAATAACAAATGAAATAGGGAATGTGCTCTCTAATCATTAGAGTCTAATGTACTGAATAAGGAGTAGAGAGGACTTGTTCTAGGGAAGGAGGCATAGGCAGAAAAGTATGACAGATACGTGGCAGGCACATATGTATTTTAAGTGCTTCCAGAGTTATTTTGCACGTATAGAAGCAAATACATACATTTGGTCTCCTTTCCACACACCCCCTTTTATTTTTTCACAAATAGCACTATACTGTACACACTGTTCTACATTTTGCACTATGCAACTTGGAGATCATTCCATATGAGAACTTGAAGAGCTTCCTCATTTTAAAAAAGTGGCTTTGTAATATGAAAAGCTCAATTTAGAGAATAGTAATGCTAAAAATATTTACAAGAAGTTCAACACCAGATTAACGGGAGTTTGAAAAACTGAATGTGAATTTGCCAGGGTTAGGGGCTAAGAATGACCTGAATTTCACGCAAGTAGTTTTCAACTACTGGTAAGGCCATAACTCTAGTTAGGAGGGTTCATTTTGTTTTGGAATACAATTTCTGTCTCTCATTTATCCTACCGGCCATGTGTGCCCCATCTGACCTTTCAGTACAGGAGTAATCACAGTGATCACACAGCATTTAATAAACACCATCAAGTGTCTTTTATGCACAACATATATAAATGAATGAATGAAATAATAGGATGTCCATAAGCTTACAAATGTCTTTTTCAAAAAATCTGGGACTTCTCTTTCTATTTTGATAGGATACTGACTCTCATTTTATATATTACATCCTACCAACATAGCTGAGAATCAATTTATGAAATATTTTGTGAGATAAGATAGATGAAGTAGGGAGGAAACAGGGCCAAGTATGTCAGCCAGGAAGGGTGAGGTGCCTATGTAGTTAGGAACTGGAAAGAGTGTAGGAGCGAAGAAAAGACAACAGGATTTGCTGACTGATTCAGTAGAGGGCATCAATCTGAAGGAACACTTCAATGATTTCAAGGCTTCTAGGATGAAGGAGATCATCACTTTCAGAAATGAAGCAACCAGTTGTAAGGAGAGATTCTCAGTTTAATTTGAGGTACAAAGACTTTTGGCTTTAGATGGGACCCCAGAGTTACATTTTCAAAATTAGAACTTTTTTTTTTTTAAGTAAGAAACACCGTAAGTTGGTTTCTTAAGTTCAAACAGTAATTGCCATGGTATAGGCAGAACCCACTTTAAGCTTAAGGACTGATATACTATAAACTCACAGAGGTCCCTTAAGTGGATAGAAGTGCCATGTCCAGAGGCAGAGATGCCTGCCAAGTTTGGCTCTGGATCTGCCATGTATTATATGAGTCCTTACTTAAGGCTAGATGTGGAGTGACAGAGTCCTGGAAATTTCAGGAAAAGTGTAAAGTAGAGGGCCTTCAAGTAGGAAAGCAATATTTTTTAGCTATTATGTACCCCTCACTTTACATCTGGCTATCTTATTTCTCATCACAACCCTACAAAATAGGTATTAGCATTTTAGAGATGAGGACATTGGGTTTAGAAAAGCTAAATAAAGTGCTCACGCTAGAAGGGAAGGACCTCAAATTCTAACCCAAATCCTGATGTTTATAGGGGCCAAGTCATGCTCAGTCCAGTTCTCCTCATAACGCCCCACTTTACCCTGTATACTAATTCCATGAAGCCCAGAGAAGGTAAATCCCACATTTGGAGCCAAGCTGGGGCCAGAAAGCAAATAGGCTGATCACCCTCCCACCCCCGTCAAAGGTCCTTCCAGAGCTGACACACGCCTTTCAGGATATGACAACCTACACCACCCTACAAGGGATGGAGAGAGGGAGAAAAAGCAACCGGCTCAGGAGAGAAGCAAAGAGAAAAAAGGAGGCAAAGAGGAGTTGTCAGAATGGGGTGAGGAGGTTGAAGAGTTAACTGTGTCCTTTTGCGTCTACTGATAACCGTAACAAAGAGACCGACTACCTAGCGTATTTCAGGAAGCTGAGCCTTGGCCAGCTTCATTCCTGATCGCCTTTCAGGAACTAAGTTTTAACCCTTAGCGTAAATCCAGAAAAGACAAAGTAAGGCGAGCAAGGTGTGCACTTCAGGCAAAAGCGGAAACTCGCAGTACGAACCAAAACTTGACCCAACCAGGCAGCAGTGATTTGACGACAGTTTGAAAGACAAGTTTGGCTGCAAGACTCGCCTGCCGTCGAGGGGTGGGGCCGCAGCAGCCCCGGCCGCGTTTCCTCCAGGCCCACACCGCCTCCGCCTGCCACGTGACCCGCCGTGTTGTGGTCCGGCCCGCGTGGGTGGCGGGAGCGGCGGGAGGGCGGGGGCGAAAAGGGGCGGGTCACGTGACGGGGTTTAAATCTCCCGCAGCCGGAGTCGCGGGGGCGCCAGTGCCGCGAGTCGAGCGGGAGGAGAGGAGGCGAGGGAGGAGGGCCAGAGAGGCAGTTGAAAGATGGCGGACGAGGCGGCGCTCGCCTTTCAGCCCGGCGGCTCCCCCTCGGCAGTGACGGCTGAGAGGGAGGCCCCGTCGCCTCCTACCGGGGAGCCGCTCCGCAAGAGGCCGCGGAGAGACGGCCCCGGCGTCGGGCGGAGCCCGGGCGAGCTCGGCGGGGCGGCCCCCGAGCGTGAGCTGCCGGCGGCGGCCGGCGGCTGCCCGGCGGCGGCGCTGCGGCGGGAGGCCCAGGCGGCGGCGGCCGGAGACGGAGACAATGGGCCGGGCTTACAGGGCCTATGCCGGGAGGCGCCGCCGGCCGACGACTTCGACGACGACGACGACGACGAGGGCGAGGAGGAGGAAGAGGCGGCGGCGGCTATTGGGTACCGAGGTGCGCAGGGCGCGGGCGGGCCGGGACTGCGCATCCCCCCCCCCTCCTCCCGGGGCCCCTCCTGGGGTGGGGGAGTGTCGGGCGGGCTGGGGGCTCGGGGCTGGCTCTGCGGCGTCCCCCTCTCCACTAGGGCCCTTCTTAGCTGCGCGCCTCCGGGGCTGCGGGCCCGGCTGCCGGAGCGGCCCGTGGACTCACTCCCTCCCTCGCTCTCTCCCCTCCCTCCTCCCTCGGCCGGCGGCCCGCCCCAGTGGCCTCGCGCTTTGCGCAGCCGCGGGGCGAGCTAGCCTCGCAGCTGGTTTAAAAAAAAGTTTCTCTCCCCTCCTACTCTTTTAACGTATTGCTTTTGTTAAATGTCTTGCTTCTCCGCCCACCCCCCACCCCCGCACACTTAAACATGAAACTTTTTGACTGTCCCTTGCACCAACCTTTTGCAGTTGCCTTTGCAAACTGACACCTGTGCAATTTGTGTGTGTGTGGTTTTTTTTTTTTTTTGGAGGGCCTTTATTTTTAAACTTGTTTTAAATTTTAAAGAGTGTAGTTGCTTCTAAAGACGTTACCCCTCTGTGGTGCAACTAATAGTGGGCATAGGAGAGTAATAGTAGTTTTAGAGTACTTTGAGTAGTATTTTTTCTCTAATCGTGTTCTTAGATTAAATATCTTCTTGTGTGTGTATATGTAACCCTGAAACACGAATTGACATTTTTCTGGCATAGTAAAGCAGATGTGATAGTTGTATATGTCTTGTCATCCTTGAGTGTTTCAGAGTTTCTATCCGGATAGATGTGCGTCTTTATTAATATTTGTATCAAGAAATCCAGTCAGTGGGCCATTTGATCATATCAAAAGGCAACAACGTGTGCATTAGGGATTGGATTAGAGAAACAACCCCTGTTTTCAAGATACATAGTTTAATAAGGGAAACGAATAATGCAAAGGTATTTTTGTATGTTTAGTGTTATATGAGAGAAGTGCAAGTTGCCATGGTAATATTAGCACGACTTTTTTGGGTAAATTTTTATTTGATAAGTTTTATGAACTATTATTTGTGATCGATAGATTCAGTCGAACTAGGTTACTACTTTTTGTGTTTTGATTAAGTAGACATAATTTTTTTCTAGATTTTGATGAACTGAAACTTAGATTCCGAGCAGAATCCCTAAAGATGAGGATATACTGTTCCTGTGAATGGTGCAGATTGATCCAGTAGGCATTCTTTACACAGGCACTATGAATGTTAAGTGTTTTATCATTGAAAATTGTTGCATCATAATTATAGATCTTCATAATTTTAGATGCAGATTGTTTCAGAAACCTTGGGTTACTTTTGGTTTCTTTTGCAGATAACCTTCTGTTTGGTGATGAAATCATCACCAACGGTTTCCATTCGTGTGAAAGTGATGAGGATGATAGAGCCTCACATGCGAGTTCTAGTGACTGGACTCCAAGACCACGGATAGGTATGGTTTCACAGTTTAAGAGCTATCTTTTTCAGTATTCTCTTTTTATGTCAACAAAAAATATATTTCTCTGTCCCCTTGTAGCCTGGTGATGAGGTTCTTAGGTGTTTGATGAGATTTAATATCATCCTGGTTTTAGGGAAAGTCTAGTGCTTTGTACTGTTTTTGTTTTAAAATAATCTCTGTATGTAACTTTTTTATTTCTGGTTTCCTGTACTAGAATATAAGTCCCATGGGGGCAGGGATTTCTGACTGATTTGTAGACTGTTTTGTCAGTGCCTAGAAAAGTGCCTGGCACATAGTTTGTCCTCAGTAAATATTTATTAAGTATTTTGATGAAATGAGAAATATTTTGAAGTAGAGCACAGTATCAGATTTTTATACCAAGTAGTAACATGACCATCTCAAAATGTTCTTTCTCTTAATGTGCTGGGTTTTTTCAAAAATGCCTTGACTGCTTAAACGTAGTAATGATTAGTTCATTTTTAGTGTTTATATTTACTGTATTTTTGGTTTTCTCAAGCTAGGAACTGATCTAAGAAATTTCAGAAATTTCAGATCAAGAAATTTCATACTTCTGTCATGTTTATGTTGTATTTTTCTAGATTTTAACCATAGAAATTTA